GTAAGCTCCCCCTGAGAATGAGATTAGGATAATTTTGAAAAACTAGAAACCTATCAGCATGATAGTAAACATTCACTTGGTTATCACAACATTTTAGAGCTTGGTTATTATCAAAACAAAATCTGATTGTCAGGTTGATAAATCTGCCAAGAATTAAATAAAGATTATAGCATGTTTGGGATTTATTAAGGAAATAAAGATATATCAAAATCATATTCACTTATCCCCCATTTTGTAATATATCAAAAAGAATAAGATAAATAAAACATTTAAAAACACAAAAGAACTCATAATCATAAACCAAAAAGAGATAAATGAAAGAAAGACAGATAAAAATTCCATTTATTTAAAAAGAAGTAGTACAAAAAGAAGAAGGAAAAAAAAAAGAAATCCTAGAGACAGGACAAAACTAGTTTCCAGAGGATCCTACTTCAGAAGAAAAATTCCTCTTCCTTTGTCTCTCCACACTCAGAGGAACCACAAACTTCGTGCCCCATGAAGTTTTAAGAGCTTCAATTAGACCGGCCTTCTGAACCTTTTTAACTATCCCTTTTTGAAGAAACAATTCAGAGAGAAAGTTTCCGAAAGGAATGAGGAAAAACTTACCCTCACGAGAGGTCATGGTTTTGAACTTCAGATAGTTAAAAATTGTAAGAGGGAGATTAACTTTCACCCTTGATACACATAAGTACATAAAGTGTTTGTCATCAAGAGTCAGTAAGTCAGAGTCTTGTTCTCTTGGAAAAAAGTTTGTGGCAACCAGCTGGTACCATAGCATGGCCAAATGTTTGAGAGTAGATGCACTAGAAGGATTCTCATTGAGTTCAAAGAGTCGGTCGAGGAGGAGGTTGGAAAAAGGACTGTTGATATTGTATTTCTCAATATTAACATCATCATCTTCACACCCAATAGTTTGAGCAATAAGTGAGGGAGTGATGATAATATGAGTCCCTGTGAAAATAGATCTTATCACATAATCATCCTCGTCCAGGATGTGAACATAAGCATTTAGCCAAAAATCATTAACCAGGTTATGGGAAACGGGTCCATAAAGTATGTCAAAGTAGTTTCCTAATTTTCAATTAGTAAAAGTTCTTTGGGACTCAAAGCTTGGTTCTTCTAACTCTTCATGGTCAACTTGTTCATTGACGGTGAATAGTTTGCTATCATCTCCCTTGAAGGTTTTGATAGAAGAAGAAAAATCCATTTGAGGAGATGTAAAAGAAGTAAAAAAAAAGGAGTTTTTCTTTCAGACGAGGTTTTAAAACTTTAAAAGCAGTTGTGAATAGAAAAGAAGGAACGTTGGGGTTAAATAGAAAAAGGATGGAAGGCCTAAGAGTTTTAGACGAGAGAGAGAGAGAGAGAGAGAGAGAGAGAGAGAGAGAGAGTAAATAAAACAAAACAAACTAAATAAGAAAAAATGGAATAGGAAGGGTTAAAAAATCATTGCAGTAACTGAAGACACACAAGCATTAATGACAAGGGAGGCGAAAGAAATGATTTCATCTTTAACTAATAAATAACGCTTTCCAAAGGGTTACTTCAAACATTAGGATTGCTTAATGTAGGCCACTTGTCTTACTTTAGAGCCATACAAAGTACGCTTGATGTTCTCCATTAATTTTAAGCCCAGAGACTACAAGATAGAAAGTCCCAGAGGGATTCTGACTTAGGATGTCATGCCATACCTTTGTTCACCTCAGCCTTCTCCAAAATCAAGTAGGTATTTCTGAGTTTTAATCCCAGAGGCATTTCTTCATTCTGTATGAAGGATGATCTCGTTCATATTAGTTCTATCTTTTCACCCATAATCAAATCTTCAGAATGAGAAGATTTTAGCCTTTGTTTGCTCAGAGGTGATGGTGTGTCAATAGCTTTTGATTGAGCAGTTTTGCGTTGAGTGTTTTCACTTCAGATTGCTTGCCTTCAGAGTCTGAGTATCTAGACTTCAAATCTATAAACTTATCAACTAGCTTTGACTTTTCAAGGTCGAGCTTATAATCAAACTCAGAATGAATTGATTCATCAGCAGCGTTTGTTTTAGTATTGTATACTCTGTAGCTTTTAAGCATTCAAAGTATCATAACATGATACATTTTAGAGCTTTCAGAATCAAACTTGTTAGTGTTAAGCATAAAACAGTTATATCAGAAGTAAATTGAAGGTAATTATTACTAATAGTTCATGTACCGACGATTTTACCCTTCTTATTTCCCTTTGAAACCACCAGAGCCACGAGGCTTAAGTACCACATCTTGGAACATATGCCTTATTTCCTTTGTATATTGAGAGGATCCACATTATAAGTTCCCAGATTGGTGTCTCAACTAGACTGCTAAAGATATCTACAACATAAACTATTTTATCTTTTGGTACCCATATCTTTTTTAGTCCATTTTTGTTAGTTCTTTTTGGTTTATTTGCCTTTTATTTTGACTTAGGTTTAACCTTATACTTCTTAGGTGGCACATAACCAATACCTCTCTTTCCATTTCTACTTACTCCTTGGATCATGTAAGGCATCTTGCTTCTATCTATGTTTCATGCAAGAAATTTTTAAAAAGACACGTCATATTTTCTAATGATAGATTCAGAGTTTATATGAGCTTCTGAAAGAGTTTCTTTTTCAAGTTCTATACTCTTGCTTTTTAAGGCATGGTTTTCTTTTTAAAGAAAGCAATCGTTTCTTTCAGATTAGGTATTTCTTTCAATTGCTCACTATGGACTTTAGAGTCTGCTACATGAATCTGTTTCAGATTCTTGTATCTTTTCTGAATCCTATGACTCTTTTCAAGAATTTTAACTAAAGATAATTCACGTTCAGAGCGAGTTAAATGAGAGAATATATCTTCACTGTCTGAGTTTGATTTTGATTGAGATTCATATGCTTTTGTGCTTGCCATCAGCGCCACATTAGCTTGCTCCTCTTCAGAGTCATATTCTGAAGCTTCATAATCATCCTATGTAGCCACCGGAACCTTCTTTTTTATCTTTGAAGAGCTTTTACTTAGACCTTTCTTTCTTTAGCTTAGGAAATTCATTCCAGAAGTGGCGTGCCTTGTTGTACTTGTCTGATATTTGCGATATTCTCGAGTCTTTTACGTTTCAAGGGTGCAAGTATGTTTCCCGGTTGCACCAAATTCAATGTTATGTCAAAAATTCATTCCTTCTTTTCCGGCATGAGGCGACATGCAATTAGATGACCAGCTAAATTTTCACACAAATCATGGTTATGTAAACCACATATCACATTAAATCTCCATTTGTTATTTGTCAATCGATAACCACGCGACTTAAAGGGACACTCAAATTTTCTCGAACTGGTTTCTTCTCGTTTGAAATTTCAGAGTGGAGGTCTATATTGTCCACTTCTTTCGCATGTCAATGCCACAAATGCACCTCTTATATCTGAACCATTATCGGACATTCCGATTACAACACCAAACTCCAATTTGAATGTCTCTGTACGAATCTATTGAAGCATGTGATTACGAAATTCAAACTCGTGTTCATTTCTAAAATGGTTGCCAATATCTACCTATTTCACAACTACAAGTGAAACATCCAGAGACACAATGAATTTGGGGAAAACATCGGGATGCACCATATGTAATGAAAGCAATAACATAAAATACTAAGAAACATCTAAAACAAATAACAAATTGCTGGAAAATGAGAACAGTGAGTTTCCGAAAATGCATCTCCAGATGAGTTCATAGAGAATTCGGAGATACACTTCTGAAGACAGCGTAACTTTTTTCAGCATCAAAACGTAATTAATGTGAGTAATGAGGGTTGAAATAAATGAACTTTGTCTTAAATTTCAACTTCTTTTACTCCTTTTGATTTGATGAAACACAAGAATGAAATTTTAGAGTGAACAATTTGATTGAGAATGGAAGGGTTTTTCGAGAGGGTTTATGGAAAAAAAAATGGAAATGAGGTATGATCAAGCAAGTGACAGTTATTAGCAATAACACATTTGATTTTTTCGAAGATGCATCTCCAGAATAATCGAATATACATCTCTGAAATAATCTGACACATTTGATTTCTAAAATTCCTGATTTAAATGTTCGGATATACATCTCTATATAACTCTTTGTAATGGACAATAGACAATTTTTTTATACTATTTTACAAATATGTATCTCCAGAATAACATTAAGTTTGCCCCTGTAAGGTGAATCTATTTTTGTTCGTTGCGTGTGATACGAAAGATGCGTCCGAAATTTATTTTCAAAAATAAAGGAGCATTTTCAATTTTACATTAAAAAAAAAAAAGAATTCCACCTCATAAAGTAGATTGTCTAATAATGACTCATTATCATGTTTCTCCTTTTGTAGCTAATAACTAATAAAAAATCCAATCTGATTCAATTATTTGTGATTTAATTTGGATTAATTTTTGGATATCCAAATTACATATATATAAATATTTTTATTAAAATTAAGTTTATAAAAATGCATGTAAATAATAGTTTGAGTAATATATAACATACTTGAAGAAGAATAAGCACAAAGGAAAAGATGAGGGAGCCCTCTATTTTTAATTTATCATTGTAGTGTCCGTGCCCTGGCAGCAATGTTTTCACACAGCCCTTGACGACAACGTGTAACAAAAGAACTAACTTGATCAACAATTTTCACATTCGTAGACTATTTTGTGGTAGGGGAGAGGGTCAATAGGATCACATAATCTTGATCTTCAGAGAAGTTTGAGACTTCTTCTAGTCTCAAAATGGGAGTGGTAACCATAACTTCAGTTTACTTACAAATACAACCCGTTAGCACAAATCACCTATCTACTAGTCACTCCAACAGCTGAGCAGAAGCCAGAATCAAATTTGTTACGGCTTCAAAAACACTTACTAGACCTATCTTAAACTCATTTCTTGCACATCTATGACAATCACCACTGAAAAACGTAAAATCAAGCATGCTCACACCGCCAGAGAAAATTTTACAAATATTTACTATGAAATCATAATATTAGATGATTACTGTGCTGTAACAGAATGTGAGCTGGGCCTCTTTCCTTCCATGGCATCTTTTTTCTTTCGACAGTTTGTGCAAAGAAATGGGCCTTCCCATGGCTTAGATGCTGGAGAAAAGAAAGGTCCGGAGTTCACTGATAGACCATTCCCAGGGGGTTGATCCACTTGGCAAATCGCACAGCGGAAAATCTCTGAATTCTTATTAAATGGAAAATCCTTACCAAGCCTGCAGTTTTAAGAAAAATAAAAGGCTTAAGAATTGCGCATGCATAAACACCCAAATGGAAAAGTAAATCATTTCATTCCAATCACTAGTCAGTTAAGATAAGTTGGTATTAGTATTACATTTCAAGATATAACATGCAAATATGAATTTTGATATGCTTCATAGCTTACCTTTCTATAAGCATTGCAGAACCCTCTTCAAATAACTCCTCCACAACACCAACTGCAGAAAGCTTGCTCGTAGCTTTGTTTGTAGAGTTCTCAGATTTCTTTCCAAAGAGGAGTGATGTTAGCATATTATGTTTCTTTCTTGGAGTTGGTGGTAATACAGGGTGGTCAGAAGGAATAATATCTACTACAAGGCAGGTTGTATCATCCTTTAAGCCTCTAGATCTTAGAGCTTCCTGGGTGGGAGAAAAGAAAAGAACAAAACATTTACTAAATAAGACAACCACACATCCATTTCTGAAAACGTGAGAAGAATGCCATAAGTAATCACAATCTCACCTTAACTACTAGCTTAGCAGCAAGTTCTGCAGGTAGACCCCGACATGACATGGCGGCTGTATCATTCGATATAGTATCCCAAATACCATCAGAGGCTATAATAAGCCTTCCACCGGCATTTGAAAGCTGAGAAAACAAGAGACAAATGTTTGTGAGAATTGCATCTTGGAACTGAATGCTTGAGTCACCACACAAAGAACGTAATAATGAAACCAACTCACTTTCACTTGTTTAACATGTGGAATTGGCACAATATACTCTCCCACATCTGTGTCTCCTATTGATCTAGATAGGCAAAGTCCACCAGGCCAGCAGCGAAGAGGTCCTACCTACAAACATATTTGCGAGCAAAAATCAGTTGAGCTTAAGTAACTGTTACTAGATAGGCAAAAATGATTACATCATACCGCATTTCCCCCAAATACATTGAGTCTTCCTACTTCCCCACCACTGGCAGTAACACGTTCCCTCTCTTCTACATTCTCCTCAAGTCTGTGATCAACTGTCAGGAGAGAAACTACACCTCCCTGAGTATCTAATATGCAACGGGAATCACCGACAGATGCAACAGTGACAGTCCATCCATCAACCAGAACAAACGTAACTGTTGTTCCAGAAGTTTCCCCTGCAGATGAAATTAAGATGTCAGCGATGCAGTGCACAGAAGATTCAAGATCCAAAAAGCAACATGCAAACAAGGTTTTGTATGTACCCTTCTTCTGAAACTCAGTGTCAGTCTTCACAAAACCAACAACTAGAGCGCGGGGCAGGGCCTGTAGCCATGCATCCCTGCTGATATCTTGCGGTATCGCACTCAAAACATTATTAAGCAAGTTTTCTTTTGCATAAATAGCAGCCGATATACCGTTATGCCCATCAAAAACCTGCCAATCAAGAACTCCTTATTGATACCATAAACAGTTTATCAGTTGTTTCTGGCAATAGAGAAACTCAAAGAAACCAATTAAAACAAAACCTAAAACTAGATTCCATTTCCTGATATGCAAATACTTGACTTCAAAAATGATGCTAAACACTAGTTACTCAACTCAAATAAATATATAAAGAACAAAACCAGAAAATAAACAATACCGCAAAAACAGAAAATGCTGTGGACGGATCGCCAGGAACCCTACGGCAATCCGTTTTGATCAGAAAGTAATCTTCTCCTTTCTTAGGCAATCCAGCTTGCCCATACTTAACAAAAGGATTATCAACTTTCTCATTTCGAAGCTCACGGCCAATCAAGGTAGCCAAAGGAACCGGCAACTGCTTCGACATTTTCAGCTTATGTATATTCAAATTTTAGATCTATTCATGAATCTATGTGCATTTGAATCTACGGAAGCAAAATTGCAAAATCGAATAACGTAATCGCTACGAGAAAAAATTGAAAAAAAATGCGGTAGATCGAGAAGCTAGATTCAAGTACATTGTAGATGGCGAAAAGTGTGGGTAGTAGAGATTTGATTGAGGAGGAAGAGAGGGTTAGATGGAATGGCGATAAACCCTAGAAATGGAGGATGAGAATGGGATTCAGTGATGTTACGGAGAAGAAACTGTTTATGAGAGTGTAAAGAGACGCTCTTTCAGGATTCTTTTTTGGGTTTCGGTAAAGGAATCTTCTTAATGTCACTTTTATCACCATTTTCAATTTTTGTCACAAATTATTTTTTATGAAAATTTTAATACAAAATAGATTTTTTTTTCGATAATTTCGATAGTTTTGTTTTTAAGTATAAATTTTTTTTAATTAACTAAAAAGATAAAAATTCTCTTTTAACTTAAACATAAATTTTAATTTTGAATTCAGTTTTCAACATGCAATTATTTTCTATTCTAAAAAATTGGATTCGTACCAAAAAAATCGTTATGTTATATTTTGCTAATAAATAAATATAAAAATGATTAACGTGTTTTTTTCTTTTCTTTTTTAATTTTATAAAAAAATAACAATAATAAAATCTTTTTCACTAAAAAAGTCAATATAAAAATCATAATATTTACTATATTTGTAAAAGTATGTTAATTGTAAATAGAATCACATCAAAAAAGATATAGTAATATTTTACTTTTTATATTGCTTTACTGAAATAGATTGTTTTTGTCAATATATAAAACTCCTTTAAAAGAAAATAAGTTAGATGTCACATATTAAAATTTACGCCTTGTAATTGAATATATATTATAAAGATAGAGAAAACACAATAAATGAGAGTTTGAATTGTGTTCATAGAAAATATTCTCTTTTAGAAAATCTAAACACTCAAATGATAATAGCTATAAAGATAATAAAGAGTAAAAGACACAAGTATTTTATCCAGGTCCGACGTTAACTAGGCTAATCTTACCCACTATCGCATGGATGATTTCACCTTATCCAAGTGTAATACGGTGGGAGAACTGACTTTGTTGTTTTGCGTTTGATCGTAATTGTTGCGGATAGCAAGAGTCGTCACGGACTTTTCTTTTATCCAATAAGGAAATGGTGAAAAGAACAGGAAAGACCTTTGAGATATTTTCTTGAGTTTGGGGGGTAGATTATGAAAAGGAAAGATGTTAGCACCTTTTTCATCCATAGTTATCTATGGGCTCTTAGTTGCTTGCTATATCACTTTTGAAATTGCTTTGTTTGAAATGTGCTTGTGGTGGGTTTTGAAAGTATTTTTTAAAAGCGTTTTCGTTTAGGAAAATTTTGTAATAATTCTCGTCTCTATAAGAATGCATACAAAGTGTTGGACTTTTGAAAATATTTCATGTTTTGAAAGTGTTTAGTGTATTTGAAAAGATGTTTATTTTTTGAAGATAGATTGTGAGCAAGCAACTAAGAATGTTCTACCTACTCAAAAGTCTTTTGTTCATTTCTTTCTTTCTTTGATATTGATATCTTATCATTTATTGGTAAGAAGTCTTATCTTTGGATGTAAAGGGACGGGCGCGGGTCATCGTATAGTCATGAATAGCAATGTTGTGAGATATCTTAGCATTTTTCTTGAGGGACTAAGATCATTTGTAAGGCCACATTCAAAGCGTCATCGAGGGACTATGATCTTTGATTGTTTTTTGCTAAGATGTCTCACATGCATATTATGAACATTTTCTCAAGGCAACAAGTGGAGTTAACCCTAGAGATGCAAGTGTGCAAGTGTTTATTTTTTCATGCTTGATTTTCTTGAATTAGGATTTTTCTAAGCATTGATTTTATCTTTCCATACAAACCCTAAGTTACTAACATTTATGTGAAAGCGATAAATTGAGAAAATAAATTTACTACGCTATTACATCATTTGGGGATGGGGTGTACAAATTTACAAATGGAGATTGCAAGAAATTAAATCCTAATTATCTATTACAATCATATTGAACTTGAATAATGTACAACAATAAAAATGTATATGATGTACAAGGATAGAAATAGAAAGGGAATGGATTTTGAATTTTTTAAAATAAATATGAAAATGAAATATTTTTTGTGATATTTTTATATATTCATAAAATAGACATTGTAAATAAATAGTGTGCAAAAAATCAACTCAAAATGAGTTGTTTTGATTGGTTGAAAAAATGTTGAAGTTTGTTAAAAAAATGAAAACAAAACAAGTGATAAATATTTGTTTTGGTTCTGCCAAGGTTTGAACCCAGGTTCTCCACACCTTCCATTCAAAACAACCAACACTCAGTATGTTATAAACTTGTATGGTAGTTTGGAAAAAATGATAAAATAAATACAAACTGTCTTGCTGGGGCTTGAACCCAGGACCTTATACATGCCAAGGTTTTAGCGTGCGTTGTTTGTACCACTGGGGTGGTCTGTTTCATCTGTTAGTTATACAACTTGCATTAAATATAAAATGAACTCATTTCTGAAAATTTGAACATGGCTTCATCTTCTTCCTTCGCGTGTGCAGGAATGCATAACTCCATTGTTAAGCTTCGAAAGGCTTCATTTCTCAGCCAAATCGAAAGATGTAAATATCAAACTTGCCTAAAATTTGAATTCGAATCTAACCACGTAATTTTCAAAAGTTATGGGTCGAAGGTTAGCATGAATTTTTTTCAGTACTAAAACTAAAACCTAACTGATCAAAGAAGACATTTTCAATGTACAAGCAAAGATAATCAAAACCATGGACATGGTCAGCTTCCTAGACATGATACCTACATCTTTTATTCACAATGTATATACAAATGATGCTTGAATGAAGAGTTCCAAGTTTGAAAAACTTACCTCTTGGAGTGAAATTCGAAGGACTTCTACACGAATTCCAGAAATGACTTGATGGTGGATTAAGCTTGTAGGGACCTTCCTGAAGCTAGTGGGATCACTACTTTGCTTTAAAATTCAATGGATCGAAAGGATGGTATATGGAAGCTGGGAGTGAATCGAAAGGCTGGTATATGGAAGCTGGGAGTGAATCGAAAGGATCACTACCTTCCTGGAGAGATTTTTTTTAAGGCTTTGGGAGTGTTTTATGGCTGGTATATGGAAGTTGGGAGTGAACTGAAAGAATCACTAACGCGTGAAGGGATTTCATATTTTTGTGTGTAAAGTCAGAATGTGCCAAATTTTGTGCTTGTGTGCAGGTTCTGAGTTTTTTGAAAGTTTGGGAGTGTTTGAGGATTTTTCAATACACAAGAATCTAGCCCCTTCAACTTGCAAATGGCCTCTCTATTTATAGAGAAAAGATTTGGAAAGTTGGAGTAACCAAATTTGTAAGATAACAGATGATGGTTTGGTTCAAATGCAAATGCCAAGTTATGTTAAGTTTTCCATGATCCCAAGATGAAGTACCAAAGTTGTTGGTACAGAGGGGCTACTTTCCATGATCAGAAGTAAGCAAGGTATGGGCTAAAGATAAGTTTTGTACCAACAATCTTACTTTATGGAAAGATCTTTTGGACAATGGCTTGATAACTTGGGTAAGAGCTTAATTCATTGTGTAAACAATTAATTATGGAGTGAAATACAAGTTTGAGGCCTTGTTTACCGTGAAAATTGGTAAACAACCGCTGATCTTCCAAAAAGGGTAATTTTTTGTTACTTGCAGGATCGATCAGTTTGATCCTAGGACATATGCTAAATATTTATGTTGTTTTGATAAAAATACTAATTTTAATAAAGAACACATTCGACTGAGATAGGTAGAGGTTTGAGATAAGTTTAAGTGTAGAAATCTGGTAAAAAGTGCAAGTAAAATGCAAGGGAAAATAAACTTTGCAAGTAAGATAAAAGGTTGTAAGCAAGAATGGCAAGGAATGTAAAAAGGAATGTAAAAGACTTTGATTATAAAATTTGGTGTTTCAAACGTACATTCTCAGTATTCTTTCTCACGCAGAGGGTACTCAAATAATATTGAGTGACTTGTACAATTAGTTGAACACACGGAAATCTACATAGAATCCCTATATTTATACTAGAACTAGGTAACCGTCGAGGAGTTGCCTCTTTCTAAGATGAGGACAAATGTCCTCTGTATGCACTTCGACTTCTATCCTTATGCCACGTTGCTTTCTTCAACTGCCAGGTAAACTGTTTTTCCCTCCTTTCTTCAGATTCAAAATCACGTGTTGCTGATACGAAGTCTCCTGGTAAAAGGGCAAAGGCTTCTTGGTCGAACACCCCTTTTAACTTAGAAAATTTATTTAAGTATTTCTTCTCTTATTAACATAGCTTCGACACAACTAACATCACGAACTCTTCTGTCGAAGCGTCTTTAACTTTCGATTTCTTCAACCTATTCTTGGCCAGTAGGACCAACATGTGTAGGTGTCAAATTCATGAGCTAACAAATTTCCCCCCCCCCCCCCCAAGAATGTCAATTTCGACGCCAGAAGAAATGGTTATTCTTTGATATTCCCATTCGACATAACTGGTCGTTCGGATGAACTTGCATTTCAACAGTCTTTCGACTTTCGTCTTGATCTTCGACAGGATCTCTGGTGCAAAACGCCTTGGAGTTTGCTTGACAGGCTTTTTTCCAGGCTTCATTGGCAGTTGAAGCTCCACTAATCCTCTGTTGAGACCAGGCATTTCGTCATAATCCCATGCAAAGAAATATCTAAACTCCTTCAACAATTGGATTATTTCGACCCTGAGCTTTGGATCTATCTTCACACTGATGTATGTTGTTATTTTCACCAAACCTTCGCCCAGATCTATTTCTTCTAGAGGATCTTGCGCTAGCATTTTAACATTGTTTGCCAACGGATCCTTTTCAAAACCTAAAGGCTCATCATCATAGATGGCATTTAGCCTCTGGATTCTTTCTTCCTCCCTTCTT